TCGGGTTGCTCGTCCCGTCAGGGGGGTTTTTTTTTTTTTTTTTTTTTTTTTCTTTTTTCCTCTCTCTCTCTCTCCCTTTCTGACACACACAAAAGATGAATTCTCTTGGTGTCGTAACCACCCATCAGAAGCAGTACCTCATTTAAGCATAATTACTTCCATACAGGCCCTGCCCCTGAATGTGGTCACAGTGGGGGTTAGGACTTCAGCCTGTGGGTTTTGGGGGACACAGTTCAGTTCACAGCAGTGGGGGGAGGGTGTGACAGTCTAAGTGTGCAGATAGGAGTGTGGGGGCTGGGCCAGTGACGAACAGTGTGGGCCTGAATGCAGAGGCAGGGTGAGCAAGCACTGAGGGGCCGGACATGGCGGGGCCGGAAGCTTGTTCTAGATGAGAAATACGTTTGACGCTTGGGGTAGAACCAGATTATGGAGGACCCGGAAGGATCAGTTTGTTCTTGAATAAATAAATGATTGCTGAGGATGGTTTAGGAGTGGAAGAGTAAATAGCTAAAATGGTGTGGCACCAATTAGCTTTGAAAACGCTTCCCATGGGTACAAGCTATAGGAAAGCCAGTTTTACTTGTTTTGTTGTTGTTGTTGTTGAGTGTTTGTTTTTTTTTTTTTTTTTTTTTTTTTTTTGCCATAGGCCGCATGTGCTCACCAGAAAGAGAGAAGAGAAAGAGACAGAAAATGAGAAATTACCTTACCCCCCCAGGGGGGATGGCCACGCTGCAATCCCTTTTCCTCCATTCTCCTCTCGGGATCTTGGGCACACACACACACGCACCCGGCGTGAGTTTAAGCCTCTGGGTCTGGGACTCGAACCACGGTCGACGACGTGGGAGTCCAGCGACATACCATTATGCTAACTGCTGGTCCCCAATTTTAGGTTTTGAATGAGGGGGCTGAGGATGGGAAGTGTCCAGTGAGTGGCCCCAGGTCACACAGGCTAGAGGCCAGGATCAGATATGACACTCGTCTGGCTCCACTGTGGGCTCTCTCTTCTCTTGCCCAGCTTGGTCCTTGAGTTCTAGGTGGGAGGAGACTTTAAAGAACATCCACACACTGGCTGGTGGCCCACGACCTGAGAGTGTGAGAGCAGGGGCGAAAGTCACCTGGTGCCTACAGCCGTGATCGAGATGGACCGCCGGGCCCCGCTGCGGTAGTGCAAGCGCCAGCACACTTACTGCAGCGCTGCTGCCACGTGTCCGGCCGCGGGTGTGGCTCTCCCGCTCCGTAAGTGCCAGGGTGCCTTTGCCCCAGATCCTGGCCAGCTGGAGGGCTGGGAAGGGGACGGTGGTAGGACTGGACCCTGCGGAGAGGACCCGTCCCTTTCCCTCCCCTCACCCCTGCTCTCTCATGGAAGAAGTAAAATCAACTTAAAAGAAAAAAAAAATGATGATATTCCTAATGATAATACCCCCAACCTGGCTTAGGATCAGCCCACGTGACATTGTCAGGGAGCAGTGGGGAGTGGGTCTGCATTCGGTTTCGAGGAATGGGGGGATTTCGAATGGCTAGGCAGGAAGAAAGAAGGGCATTTGTGTCTGTTTGGGTGTCTTTATTGCTGTTTTCATGGCTGTTTAAGATCACAAGTTGAATCATACATTTAAGATAATGCTTCATGCGGTGACTGGATTTAAGCGAAATCTGAGGTTCTCCAAACAACGTGACAGTGCGGACAGAATGACACAAACAACTGGAAGACATGAACTGTCTATGAACAGTGTTTTTTTCTGATAAATCAGAATCTATGGTGCTGAACTATAGGGAAACTAACCATTTGATAGATCATGAAACGGAGGCTCTGAAAGAGTCACGATTGCCTAAAGTCACCTAGAGCGGGTTGACCCAAGACCCGTCTGGTCTGGTTTCTGTACTCTTTCCACTCTGACGCGGACGCTGGGTCTGTTTGATGCCTGGATAACATGTATCCACGTGGTAACTATATTTTCCAAGCCCCAAATAGGGACACATGGTCTGACAAGTGTGAAGGCATTTATAGGGACAAAAGACGAGTATGTTTTAAATTAGGACCACGCCAGCAAATCCAGGACATCTGGTCATCATAGATATTTAGGGGCTGCCCACACCCCTGGCACAAGGCGGGCTTTTGCCATTTAATACTCTTTCC